GTCTGGGCGACAGAGTGAGACTCCAACTCAAAACAAACAAACAAACAAACAAAAAACTTTAGCAGAAGCCAAGAGTGGTGGCAAGCACCTGTGGTCCCAGCTACTTGGAGGCAGAGGCGGAAGAACTGCCTGAGCCCAGGAGTTCAAGGCCAGCCTGGGCAACATACTGAGACCCTTAAAACAAAACAAAACTTCAGCAGACATTTAAAAAAGGGCTTCATTCAGGAGAAATACATGACCTAGAATTATCAAATTTGAAGATTCACATATGCTTACTATGCTTTAATGAATCCATTCAGTACAGAGCAGAAGCCAAGCATTTCCCTCTCCTAATTTTAACTGTTCCAAGAGAGTAACGGTATCCCCCAAAAAACTGCCTGGAGAAGACTTACGTAGGTAGGGGAGTAGGGTGAACGACAGACAGCTGCGAGATCAGCAGCCAGTCACCTTTCAGAAGTGAAGAGAAAAACAGGACTACACTAGTTACACCACCACCCTAAGCCCACCCAAACAAGTCTTCCACATATAGTTTACTAATTTCAGATGCAGATGCTAGATTGCAATGTTCCAGTTAAGGCCAGTGTTTCCAAGGAAATAAGCTCTGACTTGGTGGTCAAGTAGAAAACATTTACAGAGCGGGTAGTAGATGTGAGTATAGGATGTAACAGTTATAAGTTGCTAGCTAGGTAGAAACTGGCCTTAAAACAGAGTATGTGAGGAGGTTGCAAAACAGTGCAAAGAGAGAGAAATCAGGAAAAGACAAATTTCCTTGGTGATGAAAGCAGTCTAGTGAGTCACTGAAGTACAACATCCAGGACACTTATGCCAGCACTAAATGCTCAGTGTTTTAAAAATCAAAATGTCAATCTGACCCCAACCCTCCTTAACATTTGACCATCAAGTTTCCACACCTAAATGCAGTCGTTCAAAATGTTTTTGCTTTTAATACTTGGTCTCCATGTCCTCAGGTCTTGTGTTCACGCTAACACTAATTCATTGACCATTTCTCCATTTTAGTTAAAGGTCAATGAATTTCCCCACTGCCACTGCAAGAATTCGTGTCATTTTAAACTACAAAAGTCCCAAACAACTCACTTCCGTAAAATGGCAATTCAACTCCGTCGCACTACCTCAAAGACCAGTTGCCAACTCACCTCATCATCTCTTGCTGCAAAGACCTTCAGAGCTTGATTTCCCATAAAGAATTTTCTCGGAACCTACAAGAGTAAAAGAGGAAAAGAACTGATTTTGATCCAAAATAAGTAACATATATAACCATAATGCCACACATTGCTAAGAAAATCAAAATGCTCTTATTAAAAAACATTCACAGTGTACTAGAAACAGTTTATTACTTGAGGTTCAATTCAATTCAACACAACAAACACATGCGCACCTAGTATATGTCCAACATTGTCTGGGTACTATAAACTCAACAATGAACAGGAGAGCCTAAATAGATAAACCAATAGTCCAGGATTACATGGTACTGGAGGAGCATACAGGTGGAGGGCACTGAGGTTGGACATGAGGGGTCAGGGAAGATTTTCTGCAAATGGTGACACCTACGTCAAGACTTTAAGGACAAGTAGGAACTAACCCAGAGAAGTCTGGGCACAAGCATTCCAGGCAAAGACAATAGTGTGAATTAAAGTCTGGAGCGACACAAAAGCTTAATGCATTTGGGGAATTGCGTTTGGAGTAGTACAGTGCCACAGTGCAAGGGGAAAGGTGGAAAATTAGATTACAGAGATTAGCAACGATCAGATCATGAAGTCTCTTAGGAACAAAGTTAAGTGGTCTGGATTTCATCCTAAGACCAGTGATAAGGCACTGATTAACTGTAAAAATACCAGAGTAAAAAATTAGAGGGGCAGGACTGAAGGAAGGAAAACGAATTAAACCAAAAATAAGTACTACCTGTTCTTTCCCTCACCCCCTTAAATTCAATTAACTTATCCAGCAGAGTTTCAAGAGGAGTCAAGACACTTCTACCAATACTAGATAGAATACTGGCATTCCAAAAATCATAACCACTTGCACTTATCTACCACGAGCAACCTCTATGTAATCTGGATCCTGGAGCTTATTTATAAGAACATGCCATATGCTATAGTGGGCAATGTTTCTCATGTTTTTTATGATCTCCCACTGCTAGAGCTGAGAAATTAGGAGCATTTCACCATAAGAGCAGCTCAAGACTCAATCTCAAAAGCATGGAGGTGAGGCCCATAAAATTCAAATACCCCTCATTCCATTTCCCATTTGAAATCATTTTTCTAGGAAATATTGGAATAATCCAGCTGGGCTTAGTGGCTCACACCTGTAATCCGAGAACTTTGGAAGGTGAGAGGATTGCGTGAGCCCAGGGGATTTGAGACCAGCCTACCAACTTGGTGAGACCTCGTCTCTACAACAAATCAAAAAATTAGCTGGGTGTGGATGTACACACCTGTAGTTCCAGCTACTTGAAAGGCTGAGCCCAGCAGGTCAAGACTGCAGTGGGTGTGAGCATGCCACTGCACTCCAGCCTCTGGGTGATAGATTAAGACTCCAACTCAAAAAAAAAAAAAAAGAAAAGAAAAGAAAAAAGAAAAACTGGAATAATCCTATATTTTTGGTCTGTTACATTCATAAAGATTTACTTGCCCTATTAGAATCTGTAATAGTGCTTGACTGATTAAAGAGAAGTTAATGATATACCTAAATGACTCTTCAAAGAACAGTCAGACATTTGGGAGGAGGTTCTGGCTAAATTCTTATCTTATAATTAGATACCCAGACTACTTGACAACATGAAGAAGACATATTGAAAGGTTTCTTAAAATTTTAAAAGAGAATAAATCACAATCGAAGAAAAAAAAGCAAACCCAAAACAAAAAACCTATTTTATAAAGTGAAAATTTTCACATTGACCCAGAAACGTTTGTCAACATTCCACTTAAAAGCAATTTTGAACAATATGTGATCTTATTAATTTAAAGATAATCACTAGCCGTTAAAAAACGTGTGCATGCATATATTTTACCTTAGTCACTAAGGAAAACACCTTACTCTTAACACCTTGTGTGCTTTTGTTAAAATAATATATGAAAGCAGTATATTAACTGAACTACTCAAAAGTGAGTTAATCCGCTTACTGAGCAGATTATAAATGAATCATGGCATAAGCTTTGGAGTAAAAGAGACATGGTTCAAATCCCATCTCTACTACCTTCTAGATGTGTGGCCTTGGGTCAGTTACTTAACAGTTCTGAACCTCAATTTCCTAATATATAAAATACACATCACGGCACCTACCTGAGAGTTGTAATAAAAATTAAATGAGAATTTATATAACATACTTAGTATATCAACTGGAAGATTGTAATTGCTCAAAACATTAACTTCTCTACATATGAAAGTATTCCAATCTGAGAGCACATTTGTAAGTCTAACAAAGTTAGCCTAGGTACCCAACTAACAAAGTTAGCCAAAATCTAACACAGTTAGCCTAGATACCCCATTAATCGGCTATATAGTACTGTACTGTAATAGATTTATAATACTTTTCACAGAGATAATACGTAAAAAACAAACACAAAAAGTAAAGGAAACATTTTTCATCTTACAGTACAGCATGTGACAATGTATGCCACACATTAACTAATTCAGGTGATTAGATATGCAAACACATGTTTGCATCTTTGAAAGTTCACAACTTGAAGGTTCGTATGTAGGGAACTTATTGTAAATGGTAGCCATTATGATAATCTTCATTATACCTGTCTGAAGTTGTACTTAACACTGACTGAGACCTTGAAAAGAAAAAGTTGATTTAGAAAATGCTTCTTGATTTAAAAGTTAATTTTAAGTTAATAAAGACCTAAATTTTAAAATGAAAAATGCAGTTTTTGTTCCGTTCTCTCTTTTTAGCTTTGCTATTTAACTAAACAGGTCCTTGCTCCCATAGGTAATTTCCACTTTTTGAGTACTGAGTTACACGTGTAGGTATTTGGACAAGTTTTTCCTGCCTATCTGTAATTAAGCAGAACTACTTCTTAAAAGGCCAGTTTCTACAAACTGGTCTGAAAAAGGGTTCTGTTTCACTGAAAAGATTCATAAACACTGTCATTAATAATCTTAAATTTTAAGCATATATATATCTCCCAAAGTGAATAACTATTTTCAAGATAAGCATATTTAATATAACTTGTGAGGGACCCACAATTTCCAACATTAAAATCGTATAGACTTTAATTAAATTCTATATCATTACTCATTAAAATCTTAAAGACTTTAAGTAAATACTCCCAATTTTCAGCTTATGTGTCTTGAAGACATAAATAACAATTTTGGCATTTCATGAAAAACATTCTCCTAAATCTCATTGAATTACTCTAACACTAAAACACAATGACTATATGGTAAAAGTAACATAAGTCCAAATCCAGAATACTGGATTTTCATTGTGATTCTCACTTGAGATCTCAATAAAAATCTCTTTGATCCTATATAGTTTGGTAAGATACACATAAAATGATATACTTTATACTTATTATGATTAATACTTCAAGAATATTTAAGATCTCTGAAAATCAGTCAGGTGCAGTGGCTCATGCCTGTAATCCCAGCACTTTGGGAGTCCAAGACAGGAGGACTGCTTGAGCCCAGGAGTTTGAGACCAGCCAGGGCAGCATAATGACACCTCATCTCTACAAAAAAATTAAAAACTAGCCAGGAATGGGAGTGTGTGCCTATAGTCCCAACTACTTGGGAGGCTGAGGTGGAAGGATTGGCTGAGCCCAGGAGGTTAAGGCTGTGGTGAGCTTGATCATGCCACTGCACTCCAGTCTGGGTAAAAAAGGTTACCTGAAAATCTTTTAACAACCCTTTCTATGACAGTATATGGTATCTGATGGTGAATCATTGCACTCCCCATAGTGTCTATTTTGTGTATCCCCAGCACGGATGTCAAAAGACACATGACTTATAGATGAGTTGCACACCCTAAAGCCCTACACTGGACAATGAGAAGGTGACCAATATAAACCAATGGTATTCTAAGAATTAATGGTCATTCAAAACTCAGCCTCTAAAACACTACATTTTACATAACAGTTTAGAGAAAGCAATACAATAGCAAAGATATGAATGCTGTTTCTTTAAGGCTACTATGTGTTATGACAGACAGCAAAGCTAAGAAATGATTTAATTGAACCTATTCTTTAGATTCTGCTAAAACCTCTCTACATCTTAATTTTTTTCCTCAAAGAAGGCAACACTCACCCCCAGACTATATTTTAGAAAAACTTAAATATGTATTGTAAATAAATGAACAATCAGAAGCACACCATTTCAAATAACAGCTAGGAAAAAATTCAATTATTTTGTGCACAATTGTACCTGAGAAGTGTCACAAAATCCCAAAACAGAGAAGCACTTCCCCTCTGACTTATATTTCATTTGTTCCTCATCCACTTTAGAGAAAGGAATTATATCACTTCCATAGCGGAACCCTGGAGAACAAGAGAAGAGCATCTGTTAAGCATATGGGGCCTCATTTTCTACAAGCTGAAATTAGCTCTATGCATACATTAACAGTAAATGCACTCTACAGAGTAAGCCTCCATCTTCTATTCCCTGGAACCAAATGACTGCCCATTGTGATCAGTGGGGAAAAAGCAGCCTCAAATACACAAAACACATATACAATACAGAGATGATTAAAACCTAATTACCTTTTTAAATTAGCATTTTCTGCAATCTAGTTACCTTAATGATTACCCAGCCTAGAAGAAAAAATATATAGCAAATGCAATGTACTACTTATCCTCCAAAGATAAACCTTGGCTGACTATAGTACAATATGATTTGTAAACATAATAACAAGAACACATTTATTCAGAAACCTGGAGACTCACAGAGAAACATGCCCATAGGAAACTTTCAGAACAAAATGTTCTCAACAATGCATCCTAGAAATATAGAAATGCCTAACAGAAGAAGCCAAAACTTCTTTGTCTGGAAACATTCCATTGATAAGTTGAATATCTTTCTGCATTTAAATTTATTACCAGGATTTGACTCTATATATTTTTCTTTTTAATTAGGATATTCATAAAAATATAAGCTCTTAACTTCTTTAAAACAGAAACAACTCCAAGCCTGTTCCATGGTTTCTACCCTACGGAAGATCCTGCCCTTTCAATACACAGTATCTTCTATGTTTGGTGGAAAGAAGAAGCATGGAAATTCAAGGATTTTGGCCTTGGGTAAATGTAAAGGAAAAGCATGTGCATCTCTACTTCAAGACACGAAAAAAGTATGTGTCTAGGAGCAGATTCTGTAATCCAATGATTATTTGTTCCTGCGAGTCTGCTGATGCCATGAATTTAATTAAAAAGAAATACATTTCTATTTCCATGTATGTCTTGTTTAAAAGGCTGGCGAATGAAAACAGAAATTCCAACAAAAAATTAACAGGGAAATGTAGCACATGACTAAGAGTAGTATCTAAACCAAATGTTTTTTCTAACTTTTCTCTGTCATCAATCATATTCTCACTTGACCTGTTTAACAGTACCTTAAAAGTTAGAATTAAAATGGTCTTTTTCTGCTTCACTTACTTAAAGGGCAAACTCTAGCTTTTGTATATGGCAAAAAGTATAGAACAGACTATAACACGTATCCATATTTCTTTGCCACACGTGTACACTAATCCCCCTGTATAAGAAATAGAGAACTTGGCATATTGGGAGATGGAGAGTAGAGAACAGGCAAAGGAAGTATGTTGGTAACTGCAAAAGGCAAGGGAGGAAAAAATGCACTTCGATGCTCTCAGAACCCAAGCAATGCTTAACTCTTTCTTCCCTCTCCATTCCCCACCAATAAATTTCCCTTGTGCAAATTTTTTCCTTTTTATCTAAATGTCCTTTTTGCCGGCTTTCTTTGCTAACAACCAAAAGAGCTGAAGCTCTCATCTTGACGCCTTCTCCCTTCAGCCCATCCTACTACCCACTGTCATATTAATCGCCCTAAAACACAGCCCCAATGATACCCTGCTCCTCAAAACTATAAATGGCTCCATGTTGCTTCCAAAATTATGTACAAATTCTTAGCCTATCATCTGAGGCCTTTCCTTAGTCAGTCCTAACTGAGAATAGTGTGCAGTCACACACACTCTGAAGCAGCACAGGCCTAGTTTCAAGTCCGGCTGGTTGTAAGCTATGTGACTTTGAAAATGTTAATGGGCTTGTATTCCCAATACTTTGAGAGGCTGAGGTGGGAGGATTGTTTGGACCTAGAAATACGACCAGCCTGGACAACATAGCAAGACTTTGTCTCTACTAAAAATTTAAAAAGGCCAGGCTCGGTGGCTCAGACTGTAATCCCAGCACTTTGGGAGGCTGAGGTGAGAGTATTGCCTGAGCCCAAGGGTTCGAAACTAGCCTGGGCAACTTGGCGAGACCTCATCTTTATAATAAATAAAAAATTAGCCAGGCGTGGTAGTGCGTGCCTGTAGTTCTGGCTACTTGGAAGGTTGAGGAGGAAGGATCGTCGGAGCCCAGCAGGTAGACGCTGGGGTGGCCATGAGTGTTCCACTGCACTCCAGCCTGGGCAACAGAGTGAGACTCCAACTCAATCAATCAATCAGTCAATAAAATAGGAAGGATCACCTGAACTCAGCAGGTCAAGGCTGCAGTGGCCGTGAGTGTGCCACTGCACTCCAGCCTGGGTGACAGAGTGAGACTCCAACTCAAAAAAAAAAAAAATTATCAGGCATAGGCACCTGCCATCCCAGCTACTCATAAGGCTGAGGTAGAAGGATTGCCTGAGACCCAGAGGTCGAGGTTGCAGCGAGCCATTATTGAGCCACCATACTCCAGCCTGGGCAACAGAGTGAGACCTCAACTCCAAAAACGAAAAAAATAAAGAAAATGTTAACGAATGTCTTTCAGTCTCGGTTTTCTTATCTACAAAATGGAAGAAACAAGTAACGAGTGCCAGCTTCATTTAGCTTGCTGAAAATTAAGAGAAAATACAGACTACTTGCTACTACCCTCAAGCAATAACCTTTACATGCCTAATACACCAACCCAACTGGACAACTTTATATCTCTGAGCAGGCCCTCTAGTCTTGTGCCTTTCACCACACCATTCTTCCTACGATGGGCCAGTCATTATACTAAGATCAAAAGATTAACCAGAGATGGAGCTATGATTCCAACCCAGGGCTCATTCCCAAATTCATGTTCTAAGCTACTGATCGGAAGCAAGGAATTAGCAGAAAGCATAGAGTATTAATTACATTCTACATCAGGATAAAGAAAGGAATCACAACTACCAGAACCTTTAGAATGCCCTCTCCCCAAACAATCACAAATATACACGAGATACGGTCCCACACATGAAAGGAATGTTTTTCAAGGCTTGCAAATCAAAACTATACTGGGTAGTACATAGCCCAGCAATAAATGTATCTAAGAACTCTGGTTTCTGCCTTAACTGTTCTTTGGTACCCTAAAATTTTAGCTCTTAAACATTCTCATCTCCTCAGCTAGTTTGTAAATCCTCTGGATAAAGACATCATCTAGACACACTATTCAAGCCAAATGGACATAATATGAGTATAACGTTAAAGATCATTTAAAGCAAAATAATAAACAAATAATTTTCTTATCTCCTAAATTAACTTGAGGGAGCATATCTGGTAGGATATAAGACCTAAAATTGTCACCACAAGTGTCAAAAATGAAATACAATAAACAAAAATATTGCTTCAGTCACATTAGTATGAGCATTTTCCCGGCCAGTGAGTTTCAAACTCTAAGAGATGGAATACCTAAGAGCCCTCCTGGGATCCATTCTGCCTAAGGCCCAACAGATGAGCTTTAGGACCTAGTGTCTTATACCTCTTCAAATAGTTGCATCTCTATAATGCAGAGAGATATCTCTAAACAAGTAATAAAGTAAATCCCTGCCTGCCTCATATCACCCTGAAGAAAATCTCTTTTAGGCAAAAGTGAAAACTCTTACTGGCATACCTTGAATAGTATCCTCTTTTAGAACTTCCGTTTCATCATCATCATTTAAGCAATAAATTGTTTCTTTTTGCACATCTTCTTTTTTTAGGGTTCTTGCATCCACAATTGCCCAACCCTTTTTAACTTTCTCTTGTAGAATCTTTTATTCCAAAAGATGAAGAAAAAACAAGAAAAGGTAAGATTCCAACTGAGAAAATGAAAACTAATATACTCTCTGGTTCACAAACAAAAATCCAGAAAAATTATTTTAGCTACATTGTTTTGTTTGCTTTTGCCTATTATGGAAATCTTAGTTTATTTCATAACAGGATATGTTGAATAACTCTCTACATTTTATTCCCCCCGGGGTAATCCACAAGTAAATATTAATATTTGTATTATACATTCACACTTTCTATACAAAGTCTCAGACTAATAAAAGAAAGATCAAACATTTTATCACAATTTTCCAACAGAAAAGAAAGGAAGCAGTATATCATCAGTCAGAAATCACAGAAATTTGAAAACAAAGCTAGACTAAAAAAAGAAAGGGTGAGTGGATTGCCTGAGCCCGCGGGTTCGAGACCCGCCTGGGCAACTTGGTGAGACCTCATCTCTACAATAAATAAAAAATCAGCCAGGCGTGGTAGAGCGCGCCTGTTGTTCCAGCTATTTGGAAGGCTGAGGCAGAAGGATTGCTGGAGCCCAGCAGGTCAACGCTGCGGTGGCCGGGAATGGCCACTGCACTCCAGTCTGGGTGACAGAGTGAGACTCCAACTCAAAAAAAAAAAAAAAAAAAGAGAAAGAAAGGTAGGAAATCGTATTCATTCCTAGGGACATTATTCTAGGCCTAGATAGAACCTGAAATAAAGAACCACTTTGGAATTAAGCTCTTGAATATACAAAAACAACATATATATATATATATATATATACACACACACACATGCTTTTGTACATTTATTTTATATATGAAAAATGTTTTTATGTATTTACTTTATACATTTAAAGAAAAAAGCTGGCCAGGCATGGTGGTTCATGCCTATAATCCCAACACTTTGGGAAGTTGAGGCAGGAGGACTGCTTGAGCTGGGAATTCAAGACCAACCAGGACAACATAATGAGATTTTGTCTCTACAAAATTCCAAAAAATTAGCCAGGTGTGGTGTTGTGCACCTAAAGTCCCAGCTACTAGGGAGGCTAAGAAGGTTGGCCTGTGTCCAGGAGGTCAAGACTGTAGTGAGCCGTGATCAGTACTCTAGTTTGGGCCAGAGTGAGAACTTGACTCAAAAAAAATAAATAAATAAAAAGAGAGAGAGAAAAAGGCAAGGATACTCATGTAAAAGCAAAAACTGAGATTCCTACTCAAACTGGAATTTTATCAAAAAATCACCAAAAGCAACTCATTTTTAAATGTACTATTTTGTACAAATATATACATTACAAAACACAACTTCACATTAACAACTAATCATTTTTTGATATACCATGGATGCTGTTACTATCAGATCATTAATATTTAAATTAGGTGTGACCTGAGTCTCTAAAACTCTAAACTTAACTCTGGTACAGTATCTGTATTTCTGCTATAATACTACAATGACACAACTTTTAATGCATTTCATTTTTTTTTTTTCTTTAAAAAAAAAGAGGAGAAGGCCTGGAACACATGCTTAACAATCAATTATCAATGGAGAGAAAGAAAAAGAAGAGAATCCAACTCTTTTATAGAAAATTCATTAAACTTCCTCTCCTAGCATGTCTTTTACACAAAAAGCTAAACAGATTAAATGAACAGAAAGAGCAGCTAGAAAAGCGGTAATTATGGGTGTGAATAACCCACACATGAACTGTCAGTTCCTTATGTAAGCATATTTATCTGCCTGGTAACATTTCTTTTAAAAATGTGTACCTACCACTTACCGATTTATAGGCCACAATCCTTATAGGCAAGTTAGAGCCAATAGTCAGTTGGCAGGGCCAGGGAATCGGTCCTCTCTCAATTTTCTTGAAGACACACAGCTTTCTTAGACTCTCACTTAATAAGAAAAAGATGAAATGAAAGCACCAATTTAAAAATGTTAACCTGTGCTGGACAAGCTGTTATTGATTACAGAGAGGAACAAGAAGGGATGGAAAACAAAAAAGCACAAGTTGGGAGAGCCAGAATATAATTGAATTGGCTTAGGAGGAGAAAGGAATTTAATTACTTTACTGACAAGTGAAAACAAACATCTCTACCTTCCCCTATTCAATCTTTCAACCTGCTAGTGGTTCTAACATTTTTTTCAGGACCAAGGACACCTTTGAGGATATGATAAAAACACATTTATAAATGAGTTCACACACAACATAAAGGGTTCATCAACTCCCTGAAAACCATGAACTTAAGGAAAAGAATCCCTGCTCTAGTATATCAAAAGGATATATTTTTAAATGTATATAATAGGGAGAGTTAAATAAAGACTCTCCAGGGAACAAAGGAATTTTGTAGTCCCATATTCAGTCTTAGTAAAGCAGATGACAACTCTAGGTCTTCTACTGGTGGGAATAGTTGGGAGAGCACAAACACAATGCAGAGTGCTACATCATTTAAACAAAAGTGAAGATCAATTCTGCTTTTATCTGGCCCCTAACCAAACACAACAGAGAAGACTACAGAAAATAGGTGAAATGTGTGATATTTTCTAAAATAAGAAGCAAAGGAATTAATGACTAAATACAAAGTATACAGCCCAAATTTTAAGGCTGAACTCCACAGTAGAGATAAAAAACAGATGTATAAAGAGGTAAAGAGGATTATCTTACATTATCCACAGAGTTAGGGACAGAAAGTCCTCAACAGACTCCAATTTTCAGAAATAATTTACAGTAAGTTGTACACTTTTTACCTGTTACCCTGCCTCCAAAGCTTATGGTACTCCTTGGCTTTGGATTTGTTGGGGAATAAATGGATCTGAACAAGGTTTAACCTTGGGTCTCATAGAATGCCACTAATCTACAGTTGAGTCAGATCTGAACAAGGTCTAACCTGTCTCATAGGATGCTACTAATCTACGGTGAGTCAGATCTAAGATGAGGTCTGGATTCTGTTCCAAGAAAAATTCTGAAGACCAGTGTGCAATACATAAGATCCAAGAACAACTGGCTCAGTTCTGCAGTAGAACATTAGAGTACTAGTCAGTTGTCTTACTGATCTTTATGGGGAAAAGTCCCGTGCTGTCCCAGTACAACTTTCTGCAAGGATGGAAATGTTCTATTTCTAACTACACCAGCCCAATAAACATTTGAAATGTGGCTACTGGGATTGAGGGAATAAATTTTAACATTTGTTTAATTTTAATTAACTTAAACTAAAATAGCCACACGTAGCTAACGGTGTACTGGATGGCAAAGTTCTAGTCTGCCCTTTATGTCAGACCTACAGTCAGAGTAGCTTCATATTGCTAGAATGATGCATAGTCAGTAATATACCTGCTTGCTATGCTACAGCGGGGGAAAAACAAACTTAAAATAATCACTTATATTGGCCTATAATTTTTCTTTACAATATCATGGTTAATATGTTAGCCTAAAGCATGTTTTCCCAAATTTGAAAGAAAAATAGCTTAGAAACACGTATCTGTACATATTGTGATAAGAAACTTCACTTTACAGGATTCCTTTGGCAAGTCCTTGGGAAATTACAACTCCATTTCCAAAATTTCTATTAACCTATAACTTTTCAAGGGCATCTGTATTTAGAAAATCAGAATGTAAGCCGGGCTCAGTGGTTCAGCCTGTAATCCCGTGCTCTGGGAGGCTGAGGTGAGTGAATTGCCTGAGCCTGCGGATTCGAGACCCACCTGGGCAACTTGGTGAGACCTCATCTCTACAATAAATCAAAAATTAGCCGGGCGTAGCATGCACCTGTAGTTCCAGCTACTTGGAGGGCTGAGGCGTTAAGACTGCCGGAGCCCAACAGGTTGAGGCTGCGGTGGCTGGGAGCGGTCACTGTACTCCAGTCTGGGCGACAGAGTGAGACTCCAACTCAAAAAAAAAAAAAAAAGAAAGAAATGTAGAACCTTTGGGCCAACTATATAAACTTTAAATACAGGGATTAAGGGCAGGTGTACCATTTCTTTAACAGAACTCAGAATATTTATTAAAGAATGATTGCTAATTCAAGAGTGGTCCAGAAAAACAAAACATTAGGGAAACCTCAAATCAAAAAAGAAATTTATCTGGGTACAACTAAATTTTCACTTCTTACCTGAAGGTATAAATTTCATCCAACCCATCTTCACCTTCTAAAGACAACATCATCTTTTTCACCATCTGAATACCTTCTCTTTGCTGCTCACCAATTCCTTTTGGAAAAAAGGAAGATCCACGGTTGTCCAAGCGAAAGCTGATATCTCCTCTGCCCCTTTCCTTGCCAATTGAGAAGGGCAAGCTATGAGGAAAAAATCAGCAGTAGTTATAAAGACGAGCTCTGAAGCCAAATAATAAACTGGGTTCCAATCCTGCAACTGTAACTCACTATCCATAAGAACACAAGCATGTTGGTCAATTGAGCATGTTGGTCAACTTACCGAGTTTCAAATTTCTCAAGCATCAAATGACTCTTACCTTCCTTAGTCAATACTTTCAGTGTCAGAAAACTGAAACCTCTTTGATTTATAAAAGGGGAAAATTCAATGTTTTACATAACTCAACAATTGAAAGGGAAAGGCTGCACAAGACCTTCGAATAACTAGAACCAAGGTCTCAAATACCACAAGGATTACCTAAACCTCTTTCTCCAAATTTTGCCTTCATCTGCCTTTATGCTGACTTCATTGTCTCATACTGGCTTCTTCCACATTGCCTCAGAATACATTCCAGTTCTATGACCTAAATTAAATGTTGACATTTAATCACCAATGTGATAGTACTAAAAAGTGGGGTGGTTAGGAGGTGATAAAATCATCAGGAGCTCATGAATGAAATCAGTGACCCTAAAAAAGGGGTAGATGGCCGGGCTCGGTGGCTCAGCCTGTAATCCCAGCACTTTGGGAGGCCGAGGCAAGTGGACTGCCTGAGCCCGTGGGTTTGAGACACACCCATGCAACTTGGTGAGACCTCGTCTCTACAATAAATCAAAAATTAGCTGGGCGTGGTAGCACGCGCCTGTAGTTCCAGCTACTTGGAAGGCTGAGGCGGAAGGATCGCCGGAGCCCAGGTTGAGGATGCAGTGGCTGGGAGCGTCCACTGCACTCCAGTCTGGGCGAAAGAGTGAGACTCCAACTCCAAAAAAAGGGGGGGGGGTTTGAAGGGAGAGCCCTTTTGCCCTTTTTGTCCTTCCACCATGTGAGAACACAGTGTTAACTCTTTTGCCATGATAGGATGCAGCAACAAGGTGCTATCTTGGAAACAGAGCTCCATCGGCAGATACTGAATCTGCAAGCATTGTGATCCTGGACTTTGCAGATCCAGAACAGTGAGAAATCAATTACTCCACGTGGATGGTTATTTTTAAGGTAATTTCTCTAAGATTCTATTTGCTACACTTAAAATAAGGTTTCCTGATCAAATTTGTTCTGTGTATACTTAGCATGACAGTTTTGCATGTCCTGCATTACCTATCAGATACAAAGCTTCCGAGGGAAAGGTGTGGCACACAGGGTTTGCATCAGTAATTGCTGTTTCCACAGCATCAACCAGGAAGGGACAAATGACATAAAGAACCAGGAAGGATCCGGAAAAAAGAAGTTGTAATAACAGTTCCTCCTACCCTGCATTAGACCAGACATAACTTTTCTTAGTAGAACCTAAAAACTACGTCCAAGGAGCAAGCCTGCTCAAACACAGCACTTCTTTGAGCTGCTGGTATTTTTTTGGTACAACTAAAACAATCATTCATACATGGAATACACCAAACAGTAAAACCATAAACTCTACTTTGTATGCTGCAGATTTATAGTACAGGTAGAAAGCATATTACCCAAGAAAAAAAATACAATCAGATAAGTAATAAGTAGAAGAAAAGGCCATGTTCTCTCTTCTGCATTGCTCATATAAAAAAAAGAGTAGCCCTTTCAAATGACATTGACAGAAGTGCAGTATGCTTAAACCATGCAATAGCATCCTGAGATTATAAACAGAGAACAGAAGCTGAACTGGGCTTCTGAAGTACTGAGAAGACCTCAACTCAATAAGAAGTATCACTGAAAAAGCACTTAATTTCTCTGAAGTACCTTCTTAACAAGTATCAGTTTGATGGGTTGTTCTGAACTATTTCTTTATAGTCCTACAGAAAGGAGATGTCCCTCTGCAGACTTAAGAGGTACATATATGCAAGAGAGGCAATATACATATATAATTCCCCATGGCAGGCATTTTCAGAAGCCAAAGGCTTACCACTCAGAGCGGGAGGCTTCTTGGTATACCTCTCAATTTGAAAAATGAGTGTCACCAGAAGATTAATAATTCAACATCCTACAACATCACTCCGCTTTCACCAGAAGTAGGATAAGAAAAAAACAGGTTTCAAATGCAGCAGGAAGGATTAGTTCAGTGAAAGAAATTTTTGTTAGGGATATAAATAGGAAAAGTAAATGCTAGGGGGCGGGGGGGGGCGGAAATTCAAGTTATTTTGAGAGAACGCTCTCCTTAACAAATTATGAAATACACATTTTTCCTTTCAATTCGTATACCCCATCTCTGTATACAATAAGCAAATTACATTTTACATACATGATATATATAAAATGCATGTATATATCTATGCTTTTTAGATCTGAAAAAGAGTTATGTATAAACAGTTTATGTGTTTAAAATGATTTCCCAAGTTGACATTCCCATCTACCCTAAAACATCCACTGTCTGGAGAACACTTCTCTAGAGCTAAGAAAAGAAACCATCAATTGGTAATGGGGTAAAGTCTTCTATGTAGGAAGGAGAGAAACTGAATATCCTCAAAGCATTCTTCTAATTCCTCAATTCTTTGAATCCAGGAACAGTGAACAAACAACAATCTGCTACTGAGCTCAATTCCCCTGTATCATTGTGACTTTCATCTCTGTCACCAAAACACACAGTGGTTCCTAGAACACTGTAGTCAGTACATGCTTGCTGAGTAGTCAGTCATCTGACAGATTCCAACTCAGAGCAGGAAGAAAAGTTGCCCGTGAACCAAGCACTCTATAAGGGGACTCCATTTACTGTATTGGGAGATTATAGGATTTGCCTCCATATGTTATTCCTAGGATCTTACAAGAACTGCAGGGAGATTTCCGCTTTCTTCAAGCTATGAATTATAATATCCAGCTGTTCGCTGTTGAATGGGTTGCTGAGGTCAGTGAACACTTCAATATGAGTCTTCTCAAACTTCTTTCCTCTAAAAAAGAGATGTCACATTAAGAAATCATTGTTTTGAATTATTTTCTACAAATACAAATATACTTGGTCCCTGAACAAAAATACAAATACAAATATACTTGGTCCCTGAACAAAAAGAGGCTAAGAAATTAATCTAGATACAGTTAATCAATGTGTTGGCATTCTAGAAGTCCATGTATTGTTGATGCTCAGTCGCTTTCCTATTAAACACATCATCAATGCTTGGTATACCTTATACTTGGAGCATATTGGGTAAAATTTCTGAGCAATATGGAAATATTATGTACCTGAACTCCTAACTCTAACTTGGTTTAAAGAGGTGGTCATGATTTAAAAACACCCCCTTCCAGCCTCCATAGAGGCATAATGTAAACAAAGACTTCTCCTAATGCACTCCAACTTCAGCCTTGCACAGGTTCACTTTCCAGACTCCTTGCTCTGATTCCAAACACGGTTAGTGGCAGGGTTGCACACAGGGTGTACAGAGACTGAGAAATTATAACACAGATTTAGGCCTGGCATTTTAGCGCAAATGTTTTTACTAATGGGCAAAAAATATGTGTATGCGCATGCACATGTATGTATTCAAAAACACACATTTTCAAGGCACATAAATTAAATAATGAGGTAAGAGTTACTATGCACTTAATATCAGTTGCATATGGATACCATTTAGCATTTTAAAAAATTCTTGGTAATTAGCTTAAGTCATATAGGAAGGAAACTGAAATATGCCAAATGTTTATTTCTACCAGAGAAATCCCCATGAATTATAGCCCTTCCTCTTTTAAAACATTTTAAAAACTGACACAAACATGCTGATTGATTAAAAATGAGTCACACAGTAATCTGAATACGAGGAGGGACCAAAAAAAAAACCCGGAATTATAGAAAGTGGGCCCTTGTAGTACACTTGGAGTTTGTTCTTTTGGATCAAACACGATTTGCGGAAAAAGTGTCCAATGCGCCTGCCCATACCCCGCTGAGTGTTCAGCAGTTTTTGACGAAAACCAACCTGACTCTCATGCTCCACCCTCCCTATTCACCCAGTCTCACCCTGAGCAACCATTTTTGTTTCCCCAGATGAAAAAGTTCTCAAAGAAAAACATTTTGCCAATGTAGAAGAGGTGAAACAAAAAAGACATCAAAATTAACAAGTTCAAAACTGCTTTGAGCAGTGGAAAAAGCATCTTGATAGGTGTATTGCATCAAAAAAAGAGTACTCTGAAAGTGGCTGAGGGTCAAACATGCAAGAATAAATACACAATTTTTTAGAAATAAATTCCGGGTTTTTATGGGAACCCCCTTGTACATCAACACATTTTTTGTAGAAAAGCTCATTTCTCTTCAGTTGAGACACTTACAGAGTTTCACGTTGAAGCACATCCATGCACACGATTAGTGCATCCAGGACTCAGCTAGTTAAGGACAGAGATAACACTAAACAGTCTCTTCATCCCATGAACATGCAACTTTTTTTTCCAATGAAGTCCACAGTGCTGGACATTGTGGACACTGAACTATGTGATGACTTAAAAGTACTTGCCCAAGTAGTGCCCTTCCTCCAAAGTTTATTTCCCTGACACATATTCATATCTGCTATATCAAAGTATACATCCTGACACAACTAAGAAAAGAAAATAAAAGGTAATCTAACACATTCCATTTATTTAGCCAAAAATTATGATGCCATTCAACAGCATCTGGAATCATTTTTGGTGATCACAATCCATTCTTAAATATGAAGGGAGCCATGCTGTAGCATTTGCAAGTCACTCTCAACACAGCAGCGCCTCCCAGAGATCAAGGATGGCACTACCAACTGCTTAGAAAAGTAACTTTAAAAGGAGGGCCCCTACGGAAGAAACTGGAAATCGCAGTTTGGATGTTTTGGACATAAAAAATCCTCCATCCAGAAAAGGGTGGAAAATGCTAATACTATATTCTTTTAAAGTCTTTTCTCTACCTCCAATTCTTCTAACAGCACCACCACCACCCAGCCCTCTGCACACAGTCCATACATACCTCCCAACCTCTCAACATCACTAATGCAGAGAAGGCAAGTGCCTGGAGGGCAGGCACCTCACCTGATTAATTTCAAATTACTTCCTAACACACATCACCTCCCCCTCCTCAGAGCAAAAATACGCCCATATACTCAGAGCTGGGACACTGGGGGTGTCTCACCAAACTAGATTATGAGTCCCAAATTAAAGAAAATTTAAGTCTTCTTTGGCTGAAAAAAGGATACAGTCAGCTTGTTGAGAACCTGCTTGGATTTTGTTTTGAATTTCCTCCAGCAAATCAAAATCTGGTAGCATCAGGTGTCTGTGAACTGTGATGTTCTGATACTGATTCCGAACAGCAAGGGCATTCTCAGTGCCATCTGTACCAAACAGGACTAAAGCAATCTCATCCTTGCTCTCAGAAAACACCTAGAGAAGAATGTCAGAAGACTGAAAACTATATCAGAATAACATGGAAACAGAAAAATACTTAACCTTCAGGGAGTGGGACAACCATGCCTCTCTAGAGCAGGCTCCTGGGACCACAGAATACTGGGCTGTTTCAAAGAGAAGATTTATGGACAATGACAATTCCTAGGTTCTAAGCAGACTTTTTCATTGACTATAAGCTCTACCCTTCATTTCAGCACAAGTTAGGGTGAGGGAGTAGGTAACAGGTTTTGACGGCTTCCAGTCAAATCAGATTCGAATTCACAAAGAAAACTAACAACAGACAATCTGAAAAGGTTTCAGTCTGCCTTTATGGAATACCTATCCAAGGGTTAAATTTTTCAGAGATGAAAAGTGTAGGTTCATAGCCTGTATCTCAGCAATTTCACTGACGGGTGCACATGCTGTAGAAAAATTCCTGCGCATGTACACGAGGAAACAATGGACAAGAAAGTTTACATCTTGTTTACATCTTTACATCTTCATCATTGTTTACAATAGGCAAACTATCCATCAACATGAGAACACAATATATACTGCAGAATATTTACACAAGGAATATCAAACCTCAGTAGGAAATGAATAAATTTGTGCAGCATTTCACTGACGTGAATAAATCTCAAAAACTCCTTTAGAAAAAAATAAGTTACAGAATTACATGTACCAGATAAACCATTTACATACACCTTCAGTGGCTTCATACAATACTAAGTATTATCTATGAATACTTAGTTCCAGTAGTATAAAATATGCAAGAAAATCACTATCAAAATTCTGAGGAAGGAGAAGAGGGGGAAAAAAGGATTAGGAAAGGCTTCACATTTATCTGTAATATTGTATTTTTATATTTTATTTTTTGAGTTGAGGTCTCACTCTGTCACCCAGGCTGGAGTATAGTGGCACAACCACTGCTCACTGTAGCCTAAAACTCTTGGGTTCAGGCTATCCTTATGCCTCAACCTCCCAAGTAGCTAAGACTACTGGGACGTGCCACCACACCTAAGTAATATTTTGATTTTTTACAGAGACATGGTCTTGCTATGTTGCCCAGGCTGGTTTCAAACTCCTTAGTCTCAAGCGATCCTCCCGCCTTGGCCTCCCAAATTGCTGAGATTACAGGCATGAGCCACTGCGTCTGTCTTGTAATATTCTATTTTTTAAGAAAAAAAAGTCAAACAACTAAGGTAAAACATTAGGCTTATATAACATGAGACAACGGGAAATAGGTTTCCATTATATTAGTCTCTGTATCTGCCTCTTTTATGAAACATTTCATTAAAGAAATATAAAAACCGGCTGGGCTCGGTGGCTCAGCCTGTAATCCCAGCACTTTGGGAAGCTGAGGCAAGTGGATTGCCTGAGCCCGCAGGTTCGACACCAGCCCTGGCAACTTAGCGAGACCTCGTCTCTACAATAAACAAAAAATTAGCCAGACGTGGTGGCGCGCGCCTGTAGTTCTGGCTACTTGGAAGGCTGATGCAGAAGGATCGCCTGAACCCAGCAGGTCAATGCTGGGGTGGCCATGAATGTGCCACTGTACTCCAGCCTGGGCAACGGAGTAAGATTCTAACTCAAAAACTAAATTAATTAATAAATAAAAATTAACAAATAATAAAAACAGGCTGTATCTGCCTCTTTTATGAAACATTTCACTAAAAAACATAAAAACAGGTAGGGCCCAGTGATTCATGCCTGTAATACTAGCACTTTGGGACACGGAAGCACAAGAGGACTGCCTGAGCTCGGGGTTCAACACCAGACTGGGCAACTTGGAGAGACCTCATCTCTACAATAAATCAAAAACTTAGCTGGGCGTGGAGGCACCCGCCTGTGATTCTAGCTACTTGGAAGGCTGAGCTGAAAGGATTGCCCGAGCCCAGCAAGTAAAGCCTGAATTGACCATCAGCATGCCACTGCACTCCAACCTGGGTGACAGTGAGATTCTGACTCAAAAAAAAAAAAAAAAAGTGTATATATACACACACCACTCCAGGCCACCGCAGCCTCGACCCGCTGGGTTCCAGCGATCCTTCCAGCTCAGCCTTCCAAGTAGCCGGAACTACAGGTGCACACTAACACGCCCAGCTAATTTTTGATTTATTGTAGAGATGAAGTCTCGCCAAGTTGCCCGGGTGGGTCTCGAACCCCCGGGCTCAGGCAATTCACTCACCTCGGCCTCCCAAAGAGCGGGATTACAGGCTAAGCCACCGAGCCCGGCCCCACCTAATTATTAACATAGGTCTTTTATATTGAGGGACAAGTCCACTATGTAGAGATAATGGAATTTTGTTATTCTTCATTTCTGTTTAGTCTGTTAAATTCCCCAATCTGTAACAACTCCAGCTATAATTCCCAGTTGTATATAAAGCAAAGGTTCCTGTCACTGGGGCTCAAAAATGTCTAGCATACAGGCTGGGCAGGTATCTGCCTCCTGGACAAAACTAATCTTAAGGCTAGGTAAACTTGCTTCAACAACAAAACCTCCATTATGGAAGGGAAGGAAACTCTGAATGCAGTGGCAATAGGTTTTGTCTCCCAACCTTTCAGGTTCACTCAGACTCTTATGGAAGGAGCTGGACAAAAAATAAAATCTAAAAACACAATTTCTCTCTCTCTCTCTTTTTTTTAATAGAGGCAGGGTTTTGCTATGTTACCTCAGATGGTCTTGAACTCCTGATCTCAAGTGACCCTCCTGCCTGGCATGACAGGTGTAAGCCACCGTGCCCAGTCTACTATTACTCTTTTTAAAAAATAGTCTATTTTTTAAATAGAGTCACAGCTGCACAATTTGAACACCACTAACATAACTATAATCACGAATGGGGTTATAGCACTCTCTTCTTTGACACCTCAAGGACTTCTGACCTAGATGTGTAGAAATCTAGGATGACAGGTAGGAAGTCATAGTGCCCAATGAAAGTGGCAACATCCAGAAGAAATAGCAGAGGCATCCAGGAAGAGCAGCAGTGAACGAAACAGGATCTTACAAATTTAGCACAAGTGGCAGCCATATCAAGTAGAAGGGGGAGAAATAATAATAGCTAACACTGGCCAGGCACCGTGGCTAATCCCAACACTCTGGGAGGCCAAGGTAGGAAAGTTGCTTGAGCCCAGGAGTTTGAGACCAGCCTGGGCAACATAGTGAGATCCCGTCTCTACAAAAAATTTTAAAAATTAAAAAAAAATTAGCTGGCCGGGCTCAGTGGCTCAGCCTGTAATCCCATGCCTTTGGGAGGCTGAGGTGAGTGGATTGCCTGAGCCCGTGGGTTCGAGACCCCGCCTGGGCAGCGAGACCTCATCTCTACAATAAATCAAAAAATCAGCCGGGTGTGGTAGCGCATGCCTGTAATTCCGGCTACGTGGAAGGCTGAGGCAGAAGGATCACCGGAGCCCAGCAGGTCAAGGCTGCAGTGCCCGGGAGCGGCCACTGCACTCCAGTCTGGGCGACAGGAAAAAAAAAAAACAAAAAATTAGCTGGGTATGGTGGCGCTCGCCTGTATTCCCAGCTACTTAGGAAGTTGAAGCAGGAGGATCACCTGTGCCCAGGAGGTTGAGGCTGCAGTGAGCCATGAGTGTGCCATGGATGACAGAGTGAGACTCCAATTAAAAAAAAAGTTAACACTTATACAGTGTTTACAATATGGAAAGCACTGTTCTAAGCCCTTTACCTAAATTAATTCTTTTATTTCTCAAAACTACCCCTTGTGAGAGGTATTACTATTTTCTTCATTTTGGAACATATGAGACATATGAGACTTCATATGGGACACTAAGGTGGAATCTCCAAGACTGCCACCATCAATCCTTTTCTCCATGTATTTGCTGGCTATTCTTTATAAAAAGAGGGGGAGTCTAATTTGCCTCCCTCAATTGTGAGCTGGCCTTACTGACCTACTTGACTAGTAGAAAACAACAGAAATGACTTTCTGAGATTTCTGAAGATAAATCATAAGAAGCCATGCAGGCAGGGTATATCAGAAAACTTACTCTTGTAACATTCTTTTTTAGAACCAGCTGCTACACTGTGAGAATCCCAAGCTACACAAAGAGAGATTCTGATGAACTGCCCCAACTGAATTCACAGCCAGTGTAAGGCATCATCTTCCAGACATGTAAGTGAGCCATCCTGGACATCTGGCTCAGAGTCTTCAGATGACTCCAGCCCCAGTAATCATCTGATTGTAACTACATAAGAGACCTCAAGAGAAAACCACCCAATTGAGCCCATGCAGTCATCCTAGAGAACCACAAATGAAGAATTTTTAAAATGAAAAACTAAGTCTTGGGGTAGTTTATAACATAGCAAAAATAACTAAACTAGGCACAAAGACACTGAAGTACTTGTTCAAGATCACAAGGTTAGTAAAATGACATGGCAGAGCAAGGATTCAAACCCAAGCCATCTGGCTCTACAGGCTGTGCTTTTAAAAATTACTTTTTTTAGCCGGGCTCAGTGGCTCAGCCTGTAATCCCGCGCCTTTGGGAGGCTGAGGTGAGTGGATTGCCTGAGCCCGCAGGTTCAAGACCCGCCTGGGCAGCGAGACCTCATCTCTACAATAAATCAAAAAATCGCCAGGCTTGGTAGCGCATCCCTATAATTCTGGCTACTCGGAAGGCTGAGGCGGAAGGATCGCTGGAGCCCAGCAAGCGAGGCTGCGGTGGCCGGGAGCGGCCACTGCACTCCAGTCTGGGCGACCGAGTGAGACTCCAACTCAAAAAAAAAAAAATTACTTTTTACTGCCTGTTTCTGATAAAAACGGGAGGGACTAGAACAAGGGAAGAAAAAAATATCAGGTTCTACTTGCATGTGAGTATATGTAATGAAACTCTCCAGACTTGCCAAAACACTGAGGCTGGACATTATAAGAAGGGTGGTATTTTGCATTAGTAGGGAGAGGCAACAAGCAGTTAAAACAAAAGCTACTGCTCAAGGCCAATCTGAAACTTACCTGCCGCTGGACAAACATGGTAATCACCTTCTTTGCTTGTTCAAATGGGGATTCTTCACTAGGAAAGGAGTTACAACTCATGGCAACGCCCACATCCATGCACAGCACAACAGCTGCCTAGAAACGAAGTTCCAAAGAGTACTTAAGAAAATAGCAGTCATAAGAAAAGACTTGGAGAATGTCCTTTATTACTATACTCCCAGAACCTGTATTGGTATTTAGGAAAGGTGTGATAAAGGGAAGGGGTGTGTTTTACATAATAATGTGCATAAGACATAAATTTTCGATATAGAAAACTCTTAGTCTCAAAGCTAGAAAGTACTGCCAGGAGAGAAGCTTGCTCCAGATAACTACTGCTCTTTTGGCCTGAGCCCCAGAATATATTCAAAGTGAATAGATAGGAAACCAATCTGCAGGCCATTTATGTTCTGCCTGGTTGAGCCTAACAGACATAAGACAAACTGAAATTAATCTTCAGACTTACAAGTATGAGGATATCTATGTTGTAAGTCACTGATTTGGGGCATAGTTTGCTATGAACCATTTTAGTGACAACAGGTGACTGCTAAAATTTATACATGCTAAGATGGTAAACCCTGACAATTTAAGTCAGTTTGTAAACTGAGGATCTAAAATAAAGATTAAGACACCAAATCCATTCTAGTAGAATACACAGACACATAACAAATAGTGCTAGTACAATGTTCCATGACAAAAGTATGCAGTGGGTACTGAGAGACATAGAAAGAGCAACTACCCAAGACTGGTAGAAGGAACAGAGGAGGGGTAAGGAGGCAGAAAAGGCTTCCTAAATATAGACTTCCCTCGGTTAAAGAATGAGTAGGAGTCAATAATATGTGCAAGGAAGTCATTAGACAGCAATCACGTATGTAGGAGACTAGAAAAAAAGGGGAAAATAAACTAAAAGTAAAGTGTAAAGTTCTCTACTTAGCATCCAAAATTTAACTGAATATAAGCTGGAGGAGGTCTGAACTAATGGCAACTCACAATTTCAGGGTGGACTATAAAATGAGTTAGCAACATGACATGACTACAGCACTACATTCACAACTACTTCACTCCATTCCACCAGATAGTTGCCTGAATCAACAGTTAATGAATTCAAGGAAAAAAAAAGAAGGGTCTTGTGATTGAAAAAAGACTAGAAGCAATCTAGGGACTTGGGATTTCATCCTAACTCTACATCAGTGAGCTCTGAGTCCATGGGAATGTCATTTAATCTTACGATTAATTCAAGGACACAGAAAACTGTTGGACTAGAAAGCGGGAAAGATGAGGTTTAAGGTAGTTTTTGGAGTTAACATTCCTTTACTGTGAATGACAGTCTAACCTGTGCTTTATACTGATCAGACAAACTGTGAGCAGTTCTGGGCATCACATCTTAGGAGGAAGATTAACTACAACTGAACATGAAATGAGCAGGTGAGGGAAGAATCTAAAGAACATGGGATATAAACAACAGTTGGAAAAAGACTAGAGGTTAAGGCAGATGAGAAGATTAAGGAGAATGTAACAGTTCCCCTCAAATATTCGACAACTGTCTTATAAAAGAATTGGTCTACAACAAATAGGATCAACAGATGGAAGTCAAAAGGAGATTGGTTTGACTCCACATAAGCAGGAGGAAAAAATAACATTTAGAAGTGATCAATAAAGGAACTAATGATTTTTGAAGCAGTGATCCCCTGACCCTAGCAGTATTTAAAAAAACCTGGGCAAATTCCTATCAGGGAACTTATGGATTATTTCTAAACCTGGTTATATCTCAGGCAACATGTGAAAAGAAAAGACTTACTTTCCCTAATTTACAAAGAACACAATGCACTAGCATTAAGACATTTCTAAAGGAAAAATAGATTACTTGAAAGAAAAAAAAAAAGATGGGCAACCCTTTCAGGTCCCCTCCCACTGTGGGAGCTTTTCTGTCCTTTTAATAAATCCTGCTTCCTAAAAAAAAAAATAAAAGGTGGAAATAAACCATAAAATTCCCTTGAGAGCAATAAAATTTGCATCCCATAGTTTCAATGCCCTGGACGTAAAAATCTAAAAAAATCTTAAGAGTCACAAAATATGCTGCTGCATTTATTTAATACACACTCACAAAAACTTCTTTTAAATCAAAGAAGTCTAGAAAGGTATTTTTGTCATGCATCACGTATCTAGAAAAAGCATCAAAGGGTTTCACAATATGGAACTTCTAGTCTGGAAATAAAAGAATAGTCTATAAATACTCCATATAACTTCACCGGCCGAGCTCGGTGGCTCAGCCTGTAATCCCGCACTTTGGGAGCCTGAGGTGAATGAATCGCCTGAGCCCATGGGTTCGAGACCCACCTGGGAAACTTGGCGAGACCTCATCTCTACAATAAATCAAAAAAATTAGCCGGGCATGGTAGTGCGTGCCTGCAGTTCCAGCTACTTGGAAGGCTGAGACAGAAGGATCGCTGGAGCCCAGCAGGTCAAGGATGCGGTGGGCGGGAGGGGCCACTGCACTCCAGTCTGGGCGACTGAGTGCGACTCCAACTCAAAAAATAAAAATAAAATAAATAAATAAATCATAACTTCACCGTTCCTTTCTGGCAGCAGTAAGAAAACCAGGAAAGAGAAACTAGGTAATACAGCAACTCTGCATTTCTATACCAAAGTGATACAGGCTGTTAGGATTTTACTTCAAGCCCACTTGTCACAAACAACTCCTCCACTAGAGCTATAAAGTTTTCAGCAGCTGTAAGAGGAGGAACAAGGAGATGAGCAGTAGCATTATGAGTTCATAATCGTTTTAATCAACATTTGCCCATGGAGAGTGGAGGGAATCAGGAATCAGTTGCTCAAACTCCAATCTTGTTTATCTGTATTGAATGAATGAATGAATGAATCCCTGGAACCACACCTCCCTCTAGTGACTCTTCAGAGACAACTAGCACCCTCTCCTCCTATATTGAAAACGAAAGTCATTTTAACTTCATTCTAATTTCTGTTATTAATCTGGGTCATGGATTCCTAGCAACACAGATTATCCAGAGCTATGAAACCAGGTAGCCTAGGTTCAAATCCGGGTTCCACCACTTACCGACTGGGTGCCCATGAGCTAATCACTTGAGTTCTCTATTCCTCGGTTTTTCTCACTGGCAAACCGGGGGAAGATCGTTTTCACCTCAGGGGGTTGTTTTTAAGATAAAATGAACCGGCCGCGGTGGCTCACGCCTGTGATCCCAGCACTTTGGGAGGCCGAGGCGGGAGGACTGCCTGAGCCCAGGGGTTCGAGACGAGCCTGGGCAACTTGGTGAGACCTCGTCTCTACAGCAAATCAAGGAATCAGTCGGGCGTGGTGGCCCGCGCCTGTAGTTCCCGCTCCTTGGAAGGCTGAGGCGAAAGATCGCCTGGGCCCAGCAGGTCGACGCTGGGGTGGTCAGAGCGTGAGACTCCGACTCAAAAAAAATTAAATTAAATTAAATGAGCTAGAATAAAAGCTTTCGATCCGCGTCTCTCCGAGCAAGCTTTCAGTAAATGCGAGGTATTAAATTATTATAGCGATAACAAGCCGCTTTACAGTTCAAGTTATTTTAATCACAGGACAGCCCCTCTCCGAAGTTTTACAACGAGCCTGCGGGGTAGCTGCTTACCATAGCCGACTTACATTCTCACATAGGTCTTAAGAACCCAGGCTCAGAAGTAACAGAGGAGGTGGGATTGGGAGGGTCGGAGTAGGACTGAGGGGGAGAAAGGGGAGGCGAGTGGAAAGCGAGGTGAGATGAGGACCAGGTGGGAGAGGAAGAAAGCGGATGGGGGGTCGTGGGAGACGTGGAGAGCGAGCGAGGCTCCCAAATCCAGGTCTCCGGACTCCAAATCTCCGGCTTTTCTCAAAGCGCATCCCTCGGTACCGGCCCCCCTCCTGACGAGCCCAGCGCCACGATCTTTCCTCGAGCCCCACTCCTTCGCATAGCCGGGGTTCCCTAGCTCCTGCTTCCGAACCGCCCTCTCCAGATGCCTGAATGGGTAAGGCCAGAGCGCGTGGCTCTCTCTCTACCTTATTCCTCGATCGCGCCATGTTGCCGATCTGCAGACGCCTTGGCGGCCTCTTCCGGGCGGGAACCTGCCGCGCAGCAACTCGGTTCCGGCGGACTAACGGCCGAGGGGCGGGGGAAGATCCGCTTCCTGCTAAGCCTGGAAGGGGAGGGCAAACCGTGCCCCGGAGCTCTGCGCATGCGCAGATTCCCAGACTCCCGCCCTGGCGAGTGAGCGCGGGTGGCCTCGCCGTTGCCTGAGACGCTGGAGCCCGAGGCGGCCCATCCCTTCCTTGAAAGCTTCGCTTTCCTTTTCTCTCATCGGAGGTTACACCCCCAGCATCTTGTGTCAGAGCGCTGGAGTTAGAGTTCCTTGAGTACGAGTGCGAATCACTTAACTTTTTTTTTTTTTTTTTTAAGTCGGAGCCTCACTCGGTCGTCCAGGCTGGAGTGCAGTGCTCGCTCACGGCCACCCCCGCGTCGACCTGCTGGGCTGAGGCCATCCTTCCACCCCAGCCTTCCAAGGAGCCGGAACTAAAGGCGTGTGCCACCACGCCTAGCTAATTTATCTGTTTATTTATTGTAGAGATGAGGTCTCACCAAGGTGCCCGGGCTGGTCTAGAACCCGTAGGCTCAGGCAGTCCTCTCACCTCGGCCTCCCAAAGTGCTGGGATGATAGGTGCGAGCCACCGCCCCTGGCGTCACTTAATTTTTCTAAAGTTTCGAATTCACTTAACTTCTCTAATTTTCTTCTTCTGAAAAGTGTGATGAGGAATCACTTCTCGGACGCCCATGACCGACTCCTGATGGAAGAGCAAACGTCTTGCAGGCAAGCAGACGCAGAAAGGGGATGCACCGAAACAGCATCTGCTGAGGCTCTCCTATTAGTTTGGAGCGGCGCAAGCTTGGAAGGCAGGAAGCGAGGTGTTTGTGTTTGGTTTTGCTTTTTGTTCTTTGTGGAGTCAAGAGTTTCACTCTGTCATCCAAGCTGGAGGGCAGTGTCTCGATCATGGCCACCGCAGCCTCGACCTGCTGGGCCCAGGTGATCCTTCCGCCCCAGCCTTCCAAGCAGCTGAAACTACAGGTGCCCGCCTCCACTCTCGGCTAATTTTTTTGGTTAATTGTAGCGACGAAGTCTTGCCATGCTGCCCAGGCTGGTCTTGAACCCCTGGGCCCAGGCAGTCCTCTTGCCACCACCTCCCAAAGTGCTGGGATGACAGGCGTGAGCCACCACGCCTGGGGGAGGTGAGGTTTAATTTAGAAGATGAGTCCGGGCTCCGTGGCTCAGCCTGTAATCCCCACTTTGGGAGGCTGAGGTGAGTGGATTGGCTGAGTCTGCGGGTTCGAGACCCGCCTGGGCAACTTGGCGAGACCTCATCTCTACAATAAATCAAAAAT